CCCACACAACGATTCCGACTATCATATTAACAATAAATGGTGATCCGGTGATCTTTAATTATTCCTCTTCTGTGTTAGCAAGTTTGGTGCTGGTCTTCTAACCTTCAGGAATGTTATTTTATCATAAAGGTGAACATCAATTATATTTGGTATGTAGTGATCATAGATGAATATTTATTGGATAATTTTTATTGCAGCTCTTCTGGTAGCATTATATTATTTCATGTTTTCTGTTTGTTATTTGAGACTGTGAACCAGAAGATAACACCTAAAAGGTTTTTGAGACAAGTTAATATTCTCATTGCCAAGCAATAATAAAATAAGTACAATTGATGGACTGTGAGATACACTGTGTAATGTACCGTAATTTATTTTGTTTACAATTTCGTTATAGAAAGTGGGAAAAAAAGACAGCTGTTTTTTTTAAATTTTCTTTCCAAACCAGACTATTGTGACGTAGTGTTATGGAGGGTTTGAAATTTTCAATTTTCTTGACTACTTGTTAATTTGTAATAAAGGATTAAAATTTGAATATTTTAAACGTTAAATCTTTTCAAATGGTTTTTAAATAATTTTACATCGGAAATATATTGCGATTAGCGAACTGGAAATGTTAACGTTCTACATGTGAAAATATTTACGTAAATTTCGCAACTATTATCAGTTCAGTAATTTATTACACAAAAACTTATTTTGAAAGACATTATTAGAAAAAGAAAAATATTGAAATTTCCTCCCTATGCTAGGCATTGAAATAGATAAAATTAGGCTTAAGAAGTGAGAGTTAATTGTTTTATAAGAAATATACAGTTGTCAAGATTAGGAAAGAGGTACAAAACTACCAGCCCTGAGAGATGCAGGAGTTTGAAAACTACCAGCCCTGAGAGATGCAGGAGTTTCACCAAACAGTTACTAAACTAAACCAAAAAGGATTTTATACAAACCATGAAACATCAACACGTTTTCTAACTGCAGAAGGTAGAAAAGTTTTAGCTGTAATTTAGGGATGTTTAGTTCAACCTTTTGTTTAAAAATAGGTTGTTAAAATTAGTACACTAAGATCAGAAGAATATTGTATAGATTTTCATGTGTCAAACCTGTGATCCAATATTTTATACATTACATATACAGAGAGAGAGATATATATCTGAGAAAAGAAATATTTATATTTGTCACAAATATTAGTATTTTATACGTTTTTTTCATGTATTTATTACCAGAAAAGGAGCATCTCTCACAACGGTAACCTGCTTGTAGACTTTATACACTTACTGATATATGATATATATATCCTAGCTCGAGATATTACAATATTTCTCACTTGCAACTATTTGTAGTATTTATCCTAAGATTTAAATTTTATTTTGTTGAGTTGTAAGAAGTTTAATAAATGTTTGCCATAATTTCATGGTGTGATCACTGTATAAACACAACCCACCCCTCGAACCAGAATGATGTATTAAAGGATTCATTAAATATTATTTAGGGAGTATTTAACCTAAGTAGTAATGAATAACGGCAATGTGGGAATATTTTAGTTTCCACTGTTTACCTAAAGAAATCCTAATGTTATTTGTACATTCATCTTTGTGTATTACGTACCATTTCAACGGGGTACGAAGAGTTAACGTCAATAGAAATTTTAAGTTATTTTTTAAGTTGGCGTTCCTTGTAGTTACTGCGCAAAATTGGGCATCTTACAACCTGAACGACACTTTGGGCACAACAATAAAGTCGGTGCCCCCTTGGTTCAAGTGTATCCAGAAGGAGAGCAATCAGTCTACAGTACCCTCCGCCTATATCGATGCTTTTAACTGGATAGCGAGATTGGCTACCATTGGTTATACCGCTCTTTTCCCAGCTGAAAATACGGAGCGGTATATCAGGAATCGAATCTTGGATCTTTCAATCAGCAGACTGGCACGCTAACTACTAGAAAACTTCTGGCTTGTATTCAGCATTCATTGCTTTTTATAAATAACTGACTAGTTGGTAATTATGAGAAAAAATAATACAGTACTTAACTACGAATAATAACTTATAAATAAACTCCTAACAAGTTAAGATTAAGAAGGTAATTATTGGAAATATTGAAGGAGTAATAATGTACAGTTCGGGATAATTATATCAATATCCGTTTGTACACGACTCCATCTCCTCTTAAAGTCTAAAGCAATACATTGTGTTCGATATATCTACTAGATCAGTGGTCGGCAACCTTTTTTGATCGATGGTCAATTATATTTTTTTTTTAAAAATTTAGCATTGTGTTGGGTCAGTGATAATCATATAGTTATTAATACCGGTACATGTATTTTAAATGTGTATGTTTATTAACATACACCAAAAATTAATAGTTCGACCAGTTTTGATATTTTTCCCTGAAACTGATCTTAAAATTCTCCGTAGCCGTGACTCTTTCCTTTAATATCGTTGTTCTTCTCACATAGCCGAGAAACTTGAACTGAACAATGATTGTGCCCTCACGGGTTGCAATGGTGAAGCCAACTTTTGGCGGGTCAGCCAAATTATTGCCGCGGGTCATAGGTTACCGACCACTGGACTAGATCATAGTCTCTCAGTTTTCACATTAAAAATACATCATCTGGTAATAAGGAAAAAACTAAGGTATAAAGGGACAAATACGTTGTAGGTGGCTAAACTTCACAAACTGGAATAATAATAATACCATCATGATTATTATATATATATATTTGGTTTGACACTCCTCCTTAAACAAGCACTAGCATGGGTTACTGGTTACTTTATTATGTTAATATTTTCGTGGTTTACACTAATGTAAAGCAGCTCAAGACCAGAATAGTACAAGTTAAAAAATGTTTAGTAAAGTTTCTTTGTTTGTTTTGAAT